GGGATTTTGCTGTGCATTCCAAGCCAACTGCTTTTATAAAGCAGTTTAAGAGATTCAGGTTTTATAACTGTAATTTCTATCTAATAATTTAAACATTTCATTCCATAGAATGTATACAAATGGCCCCATATAAAATACTTTTTCAACTCTCCATCACTCGGCCAACAAACCATTTATATTTATGTTCAAATAAATCTCTCCCTTTAATATTGATATTTAATGTAATCCCTTCTCCATAACCATGCCATATGTTTACGCATAAAGTCCTCCTTCAATGCGACAACCGCAGCAACATTTTGATTAAAGAAAAAGTTGCATTTGTATCTGGAATCCCCTTGCGGATTTTTCGCATGGCGGTAATGTTTTTGCGTGCTGTCAACACAAATATTTGACCACATAACAAAAAAGTTACAGAAACAATGCCCTCAACAACAAAAGTTTGCAGCATCGGTTACAGCCGGCAGAAACAAATGAAATCAGCAAAAGCAAAAAAAGACCTTTTCATATTCCCCAACCATATTCGAATTTTTTTGTATTCATTAAAATAGTAAACGGAGTTATTAGTGGTTTTCCTATAACTGTGTATTTATGCATGCAGAAATTTTTAATATGGAAAATAACCAGTTATAAGTGTGAAATATATTTTAAATCTCACTATTCATCCATTTGTTACTGATACATAGGTATATCAAAATAATATGCCTATATTAAATATTCTAATAGATTTTTCCTGAAAATTTTTAAAACAGAATGAACACAAATGTCACCAATGCCCAATACCAAATACATCTCACAAGGGTCGAGGGTCACAGATTGAAGCACATACACCAGGACATATATATTCAGATTCCCCCACTATATATATCCGTATGAATAAACATATGCATGACCATGCAAATGTGTCGACGGGACGCGCGAAATGCAAATGAAAATGATATGTGTTTACATGCGAGTGGCGGTGGGGTACTAAGAGTCAAAAACTGTTGTCAGTCAGTGAAATAAAAAGCGAGGGACCCCAAATACCCGGCGGGACTAACAACAGTCATCTCTGGCCTCTTTTCGATGCTCCCCATAAATTTGGATGACAGCCGAGGTGACAACGTGTCAACAAGCGCCGCGGGCGACTGCCACGCCCACGAAATCACAACGCCCACACACATGGGTCATAAACCAAGCATCAAATGTCTGGCAAATCGGGCAATTAAAGATCCACTTTAAGGAGAGCCAGAAAACAAGCGCGCTCTTTAAATGATTGATTATTCGGCAGCTAAAATCGAGGCACATTAAATTTGTAGGAGCTTCTAGAACTGGCCTTCCGTCATCTGTCTATTTAACCTTAGTGCCAAAGGCGTAGAGGTTAGGGCTTTTCTACGTTTTTCGAAAAATAAAATAAAAAAAAGAAAATAATTTGTACATTTTTATAACTTTAATTAAGAACCCTGGTATATTACCAATCATTAAAAAAGTTTTGAAACTTCCAATCTTAATATATTCACGGGCTTTAAATTAATATTAATTACTTTTAAAACATTTATTTTTTTTGTGGTTAAATATGTCAAGTCCTTGCATATTTTCTAAGATCCCCCCCCTGAGAACCTTATCCTTGACACGCCTCTGTGATTTTTTCTTATCACGGGTGTTGCTGATGCTGTTATCGCCGTTGTAAGTGGCTGTCGCTGTCATCTGCCAGAGGCAGGGAAATAAAAGAAATGGAATGAAAGTCCCCACTTGCCCCCAACTCTAAGTTCAATTTGTTTCCCTCATATTTCTGTGATTTGTTATTGAAATTGTTATTGTTGCTGGTTGTGCGTGACAACAACAGCAACATCAACAACAACAGCAGCAGCAATGACAACAACGAGTTGCGCAGGCTTATTTTATAATCACAGCAATTTTCGAGCTTGGCTCAATGATTTTTTTCTGGGCTCACATATTTGCATTTTATTATCGCGTCGCCCTTTTTATTGACGCAAATCATTTAGGTTGTGTGTGTTTATGTGTGAGTGTGTGTTTATCCAAGTATGCGTGAGTTTTATTTGTCATCAGGTATTTGATATTTTATTTCTGATTGCCTCGGGATTTATGTGGATGTTTATTTTGTTTGCTTATTTGCCAAATATTTTAAAAGGATTTCCCACGAATTCATCCAATTTAAAGTGAGAAAAACACAAAGCAAGGTTCAATTATATTCATTGGCATGCAATGTAAATTTCATAAATGTTATTCAAAAGTTTATTTCCCAAACAAAAACTCACCGCTCCGCAAAATTAATTACATTTAAATGATTTCTGTAAAGCGATTTATGTAGGAAGCAGCTTTTAATTACATTTCAAATTCAAGTTTTAAATTAACTAATTAGTGAAATGTCACTGACTCATAATTAAACGGTTTACTTTAAGCGGCAGATGATCTTTTAATTTCTTGGGGCATTCCACTTCCATTCCTTTCTGTTTTTTCTGTGAAATCCAGAAATCGGTTAACCGAGGAAAAACAAACCCAAACCAATTCTTTTGTCCAGTCATTTCCTTCCTATTAAGTTCGTTTGCTGAGCAAACAGTTTTCAGCAGAGATGTATCTAATTGATGAAGGGCTGCTGATTGAAGAAACCGAAACTAAAATTGAAATCGATGCCGCCACAGAAACCAAAGTAGGGAAGTACAACAAAGGCTTTTTCACAAACAGGACCTCACACACACACATGTGGCCAACACACGCATAGTCCATAGTCCATTCATAAATCATCATATTTTCACCCGATTTTTGCCCATTTTTCGCATGGGAATTGTTTGCCTTGGTTCAGCAACGCGGAAAAAAGTACAAATATTTGTTATGGTAGCTCACACAAAGGCTTATGTTGTCATGGACCGGGGCATGCACACACTTACACACGCACATATATCATCCATTTTGTATGCACGCTTTTTTCTGCCGACATTGTTTTGTCATTCACTCAATTTGGCAAACAACCGAATCATTAGCTGGACCTGACCAGACCCTATCTTCCATTGGCCATCGTCCTCCGCCGCCGCCTTTATATCCACTTAAACTTACAACAAATTAAATAAGTTTCAACTCATTTACCAAGTCATTTTCCTGCCAACTTTGCTCGTCATCAGCTTCCCCGGCTATTTGTGTTTCAGTTTAGTTTTATGACGACCCCATTTTATCCCCGTTTCAGCCCCATTTCGGCCCCATGCAAAGCGAAATCTACACAAAAGAAATCAGCTAAAAATTTATTTACCCTGACTTTGGCAGCGGAACTGGAAAACGGGAAAGTTTTGCGCTTTTGTTTGAAATTTGTTTCGCATTTGTAAGTTGAAATGCCTTCCCCAAGAAAGGCGGCATAACACAGAAAATACAAAAAAATAAGACAGAAACACAAATAAAAGCTTTATCCTGCTCCTCAAAGGGAACCTAAGGAACCGGGGCACTGAGGTTCCACGAAAACCATCCCAGACAGACCCCAATCTCAGGTTCCGTTCGCCGCTTTCCCGGAAGAAACGTTCCCCAAGTTTTCCTTTCTTCATTTTTTTTAGCTGTCCAGTGCCAGCTTTTATTCAATTTAACCTGATTTCCCAGTTTCCTTCGGCTTTCAGGTTACAGCTTAAACAAATTTCCTCCATTTTAAAGGTTCGACTACCGTCTGCTGCCCAAATTGATCTTATTGACACTTTACTTACGGCCCAAATGGTCTGGGACGGCCCTATTTTTAGCCAAACCCAATGGCCGTGTCATTTGTAACGTTTTCTCCTCGGACCGGGGAGCTCAGCATTATTGCAATTTGAGCGCTTGATGGGCGCGGAATGGGGGACTGGAAAATATGGCCTGGCCATAAACAAATCCTTATGGTTGCTTTTCAGAAAGTAAGAGCTACGGCATTCAACAGATGCCAGTGCCTTTGAGGCTTTTGCGTTTAAAGTGGCTTCGGAAAAGTGGATGAAATTAAATGGCTTCGTCATTAGGTCAATTTGTGAAAAGTGAACATTTTATAAAAATGGTCTTACATTTTCGAAAACAGCCTGTAATTTCCTTCGTAAAGAAGTACAGGATATTACAGTGGAAGCGACTTGCTTTTTCATTATTTATTTATTTTATAATGGAAACTATATATTTCTATTCGTCTTAAAGCAAATAAAACCTAAGTTTCGCTCCACTCCTTTATCGATCCATCTTCGCCTCGAACTTATCTCATTTTCTCTACGCTGGCTCGTTAAGAATTTCCTTTTCCCAACGGCTATACGGATTCATGTTCGACCAGATTCTGGACACAAATCCCGCGCCCAAATCTCAGGGCAAACGCAAACAACAGAGTAAACACAAGTATCACTCACTAAATATGTATGCCGAATGCCGACCGAGAATTCAACCTATTTGCACTGAGAAAAAAAAGGAATATTTTATTTACAGATGGTCTGGTGTAAAATTACATTCATTATGTTTATACATAAACTAAAATGTGAGAATTACCATAATTTCAAACTTTATCTCTCTGGGTAAAATTGTATAAATTTCAAGAACCAATAACAAAGAGGTTGTGAGTTGTTGATTATTTTTTTAAACATATTTTTCTCAGTGCACACACAGTAGTATTTTTATGGGAAAAGGGCGAGAGTGCCGCGCTGAGTTATGACGTCCAACAGCTGTGCAAAACGATGGCCACAGCATCGGAAATAGCCGCTCATACATGTGGCCCAGTTGGTCTGAAATATGTTGCATAAGCCCCCTCGGGAGGGGAGGGGCGGGCAATATCATTTGGGCAGCTTACGATTGAAGCGGCGGGGTTCCCGGGGGGATGTGGGTGAAAAAAAGCAAGAGCAACGGAGTATTAAATAAAAATGGCCGGGCGACAGTTGGGGCTTGCATTGTTGCCAAACCAATCGTAAATCGTGGCCACTCATAGGTGGAAAGTATTGCAGCCACTTAATACAGTCATAAGTCGGGCGGGGAATATTTACAAGCTCACAGAGAAAAAATACAATGGAGAACTGCTTTATCCGCAGGATACTTCCCACTGGGCTCCGAGCATTGCCTCACCTGGATCTGCCTGGATGTCCTTTTCTGCACGGCCAGCATCATGCACCTGTGCACCATCTCCGTGGACCGTTATTTATCGCTGCGCTACCCGATGAGATTTGGCCGGAATAAAACACGCCGGCGAGTCACCCTCAAAATTGTTTTCGTGTGGCTCCTGAGCATCGCCATGAGTTTGCCGCTGAGCTTGATGTATTCAAAGGTGAGTAAATGCTATTGGTTCTATTTGAAATATTCTAAGATATTTTTTAAAACAAATTTCCAATTTAAAATTAGTTTTTTTTTAAATAAGTAATAAATATTAACTATAATATATTATTTTCTTTTGTAATTAGATCTTGAATAATTAGATTCTTATTTTGAAAATTCCAAGAAACCTGATAAAACCTTTAATTCCTTCTCTAAACTTTTCCATTTACCAATTTTCTTTAAATTTCCCTTAAAATTAAACACCCCTTAGACTGCAATGATTATATCCCATGTTAACCTAATAATTAAAGTCCAAACAAAGGCGACTGCCTAAATGTGTTGTGAATATGTCCTTTACTTACCCAAATTAATTCCAGCCCATGGCTTGCCATCTCCCTTTTCCCTTTTGATTCCAGAATCACGCCTCGGTGCTGGTGAATGGAACCTGCCAGATACCGGATCCGGTGTACAAGCTGGTCGGCTCCATTGTGTGCTTCTACATTCCGCTGGGCGTGATGCTGCTGACATATTGCCTGACCGTCCGCCTTTTGGCCCGGCAGCGCCAGAACTTGGGCGGTGGCCAGCAGACGGCAGCGGCCACCCCCGGATGGGCGAGTGGGTGGCTCGGGCAGGCACCGGCCTTGGGTAAGGATTGAGCTCCTATCTTGTACCACCTCCAGTAGTAGCAGTGCCAAAACGAAAGGCTGCAGCAGCTTAATATGATTTTCAGTTTGCCCAAAATTTGCATTTCGTTCTCGGTTGCACTTTTTTTGTACTCAAAACTTTACATGGCACTCGACAATAGTTGAGAAAGGGGGTAGCGTAGTGTTGAAAGGGGGAGGGGGATGATGAGGGGACAACACTAGACAAACAATGCAGAGACATGTGCCGGATACTCCCAGAATCCGTGTCCCAGGGATTTCTCGGGCCCAAAGTGCGACTAAGCCGCAGCAATGCACACAAAATTGACATTGCCGTCGACATTGAACCGGATGGATAGGGGTAAACACTCCAGAACAGCACTGCCACCCAACCACCCACTAGTACACACACAAGCCCAGCAAATGGGTGGAAAATCCGGCCCATATGTGTAGATAGCTAATTTCCACGTTGCCATGAATCGAAAGGCAGCAACGTAAATGGCTTGTAATGCTCTAAGAGCTTTTCAGCAGTGCTCAACTAGTTTTAAAACCAAAGTTTCAAGCTTTAACTTTTCAACGAGTGTTCGTAGGGCTATTTTAAAAATTTAAGAAGGGTTTTTCATGATATTTCACTTACTTAACCCAGTTATTCTATGGCTATAATGAGCCCACTCTACTCGAACGTTGAGCTAAAACAATCTAGGATCCTTCGTTTCAATTATCCCCCTGCAATTCAATAGACCAGATTCAATTTATTTTAAGCATAACTAAGTGGGTCCTAATGCCTTTGTCTGCCCGCAGAATTTATTCAGCAATGTTCCCATTTCTCATCCGATTGGATTGGCCTGAGCCCCAAGGGGACAGAGAGTAATTTTCTGAGGGACAAGCGGGAGCTGAGGATGCCGAAAGTCAATACAGACGGGGAATATTTAATGGACTGGTGAATGGCGAATGGTGACTGGTGACTGCAGCTGAATCGCATGCACTGCAGGGCATTTCTGCGATTCGTAGCGAGCATTTAGGGGCGGCTCAGAGGACGCGGTGTCCCCGATTCGTTTGAGTGGATTTGAAGCCTCAGCTGCAAGTATTTTAGGGTCTATGTGGGTGTGTGTATCCGTAACTGTGAGCGCTCAAGTGCGACTGTGTTGGTGCCAGGGATTTGGGCAGTTATTTTAAGCCAAATCTCTGCTGTAAAGCGTCCGCATTTTGGCCAGGCACGTAGTGGGAATTCCCAGATTGTTCATTTTACATAGAGAGAAAATGGAAAAAAAGAATACTTACTTTAAAAAAAGAGTGGAAATTATCTTATTTTATTTTACGAAAATTTAAGTAATTTTACAAGCTTATCCTAAATACAAAATTAGTTAAAGATGGTAGAAGTCATTAATCAAAGATTGCCGATTAAATTATTATTATTTATGGTCTTAAAAAAATATATTTCTCATCAGTAAGAAACCATAAAGAATTTGAAATCCTTATAATTTAATATAGAAGTTTAGGTAAATATATTTCTGAATATTTTTCTTGGTGCTCAAGTTAAAGGGGATACATTTTAGTGTGTGCTCGTGCGAGTTTATTAGCGCATTTGTGAACTTTCGTAGCGCACTATTGGGCTGACTGCAATTCAATGGAAACTGTAGACCCGTTTAACTTAACCCATGCTCCACAGAACGGCGATGCACCTGGCGCCGCCTACTGAAACCGGGTCCGGGGAACGCCTCCTCGGTGCTGCACGCCCACTCGGCCAATTCCACGGATACGGATCTTAGCACTTTGGACAACCACGAGCTTTGGCTGCCCGATTCAAGGTGAGCTTAGTGCTAGAGCCTGGGTAAATTACCATATTCACATACCAATATATTATTTGTATTTGCATTTGCAGCATAAAGGAGCCCACACCCACGACAATGACGGCTCTCCATCAGTTTGGAGCCGAGATGCTGAAGCTGTCCCGCGGCCTGGAGTCGGTGGCCTCGTCATCCACCACCGGTTCGCCCACCAAATCCGAATTTTCCATATCGAATCACCTGCAGCTGCAGTACCCCAGCAGTCCCCAGCGATATGCCTCCCACCACCACCAGCAGCAGTCCCACCAGCAGCAGCACAACCACCAGCAGCACGCGGGCAGCGTCTACCACCAGCAGACCTCGCCCAAAGGTCGCCAGGGAGCCGCCGTCCTGGGTCTGTCCACCACCACGCTGGGCATCGAGCGGGAGAGCACCCGCAATTCCTTGGCCAGCAGCCGCATGGGCGGCGAACAGAGCGACGGGTAAGTAGGGGGAGATCCTCGACGGGATGCCCATTAATAATAATAATAAGCTCGTGATGATGCTCTAAAGGTTTTAGATTTGACATAAACTGTTTCAATAAGTTCTAATGGAACGAGTTTTTACCTTATGACTGCTTTTCTCAGGTTTAATATCAGAGTAAATCTTTTTTATTGGAACCTAATATTTTTTCCAAGCTTTGTCAAAATTTTAAAAGAAACAAGAAATATTTTTAACAAATTAAATTTTCTTATTTTAACAACTCTTATATTTATTAAACTAGTTTTATATTTCTATGGGATTTAATTTATAATCATTAAGGGATTTCTATAGAATTGGTTAAAATTTTTTATCAAAGTTTAATACATTAAAATTTCATGGTATTTGGTAGATTTTCCCCAACTCTAACCTTATTAAATCTTCCTACGGTTGTAACTTGATGCACAAGAATAATTAAATTTGTTCCCGCCCCCCTGTTAACCAGCAACCGGAATCTGCATTGTCACAAATAATATTATCACAGACAATTAAATTCATTTAACTTTATCCTTTCCGTGCGCCACAAGTTTCGGTAATATTTTGTTAAACCCCTCCAAAGGACGTAGACAATTGTGTGTGCGAAAGAAATCCGGAGAAGTACCGGGAAAAACGTAAAGTTTCCCTCGTTCTTCACCTGACAAAAGGACAAACAGCTGCGACGGGCAAACCGTTTTGCCAGAGTGATCCTTTCTAGTCGCTCGCAGGTCCTTTTGTTGTCCCCGTCGCAGTCGCAGTCTCAGCCGGTTCTCGAGTTTTCGGGTAGCAATTTCAGGCCAAGTGTGCTGACCACACCGAAAGCCAGGGAAACTGCTCACCTCGAGTCCTCTTTGTGACTCGTTTACTTTCTCCTTTTCCATTTATTTTGTATTTTTTCGTGAGCTCCTTTTTGTGGCATTGCCTTTTATTGTCCTTCCGCCTTCGACTTGTTGTTAAATTTTTCGTAATAATTAATTTTTTTTTCGTTTTCGTTTTCCCTTTTGTCGGTGCAAACGGTTTTTTTCTTCTTTTTTGCCAAAAGGGAGAGCCACTCCCTTTTTATTCGGCATTCGAGCCGCTCAAGTGATTTTGGCGCCGACTGAGTCCTTTTGCTTAAATGTGTTTTTCATTAATTTTCTAATTTTAGTCGACTGGCTTATGTCGGGATAAGAGATGCGACGAGAAATTCAATTAAAAAAGTGAAATCATAGGAGGCAAATATTTATGTATTCCCAGGAATGTAATAAGAAATCGAAGGATGGGAGGTCATGGGTAGTCGGGTGGAAATGATATTATTGCTTATGATAGAAAGTCGGGAATCTTTTTTATTGTTAAAGAAACTAAGCATTACCTTCACTGCGATTTAAATCTTTTTTTTGTATAATTTTTGTTGCACCCGCTTTTTGTTTAAATACCGGACTTTAATGTCTGAAATTTCCCGTTCGATTTTTAAGCACGAATAAAGGAGCAGCTTAACTTACGAAATGACTGAACATTTTATCCCGCAGATATTTTCTCTTTCACCCAATCCCTTGTGCACTTTAATATCATATATCATTGTGACTGTGCGCTTTTCAGCCATCCATGGATGGAATATTGGGTATTGTGCCTCATATATCTGCCACATTGTTTGACAGCTGAACGAATTTGCACAATCAATAAAATGGATTTCGGCTTTGTCTTCCTTTTGTCCTCTTTGCCACAGGATGCAAAGTGGTAAAGGACGAAACGAAACGAAACGGGGTTAAAGTCGAGTGGCTTTTAATTGTCGCACAATTTGTCGTCTCATGCGGGAAAGTTAACAAATGATGCTGGAGGTATTCTAATTTTCGGGATTTGACAATGATGACAGCGGAAGTGTGTGGAACTTGGCTTCGGATTTGGAAACCAGTTCAACACTTTGCCAGCGGTCCCTCTGTGATGTCCTGATGAGCTTGGCAGCTGTTTAATTCCTTTGTGGGTGAAACAATAACGAACTTGGCTTTGTTTCACTTGCATAATGAGAAGTTGGCCCCTCCTCTGATACCCCAAACCCCCTTGCTTAGCTCTGTTCCAACGCATCTCAATTTATGCGCACGTCTCGCGCAAACAAATCAAAAAACGCGAAGGATGCATAATGAGCTGACATCCTTATCCTGCGTCTTAGTCCCCGAGCAGCCCGATCCCGGCCCTTCTCCACTTGGCCTCCTGTCTGCTAACGCCTTCATTAGCCGCCAACCACGCCCCCCACCGTCTTGGCCAAATAAAGTTGGCGCGCATTTGCATGCAAGGCGAACGGAGGGCGGCAAGACAAAAACCGCAAAGGCAGCTCGCAAATTTATGCGCTTTATTAAAATGAATGCAAAATGAGTCGAGGAAGGGAGCCTGCTCCCAGCAGAGCAACAAAAAAAAAGAAATATATATTACGGGTAATACAAAATTGTAATTATTTTTAAAAAAATAACAAAAAGTTATTTGAAAAAGATTTTCGAAAAGACGAATTAGTATCCAAAATAAATATTAGTAGGTATAAAAATAATTTTATAAAATAAAAATATAATGAAACTCTTTAAGTGTATCCCAAACTGCCGTGAAAATGAAAAGAAAAGCGCTAAAGGAAAAATGTTAGACGGCGGCAGACCACAAAGAGCACACACAAAGCACAGAAAATGTTGCCTACTTCATGCTAAAACACTGGGAAACGGGTGAAAGAAACGAGCTGACCACAAAGCGTGTTGGCTGCCGCTGAATTGCTGTTAGCGAGTGTTCACTGCATTGTTTTAGACACCCCCCACCTTCGAATAGAGTTTTGCCAATTGGCTGCGCAATTTTAATTAAAAATGTACAACGCCGAGGGGCAGAGCAAATTCAGCGAACAGAAGTCAGAAGAAAATGGCACAGAATTGGGTACTAAATCAATAAATCGGTGGGGTATAAAATCGACATATATTTTATAAATGTACATTGTGCATTCATAAAACCCCATGGTTTCCTCTCAATCGCATTCAATGCAGTTAAATCACTTAAAATACTTGACCAACTTTAAAGCCTAAAGCCAAATTGCATTACAGCAATCAATTTCATAAGCAGATTATTTAAGTAATCCGTTTAAAGAGCATTTGTTCAATTAGGAAATTTAACAGCTATAATCGCATTTTTTTCAATGGCAATCTCTTTATTTTCAGGACTCTCTCGCAACTCTCCCAACGATTGCGGGCCTATAAGAAGCGTAGGAGGGCTTCGTCGGCGGTTCCAGGACGAGATCGACGTTCCGGTCACGAGGATGCCGACGAGGATCTGGACGACACTCCCACGTCGACACTGCGCCGGCACAAGCGTCACAATAGCCTGCCCAAGAATGCGCTATATCCGCGACACACCACCGTACAAGAGAGCCTCGATGACGACGACGATGACGTTGACGGGGAGGAGGAGGATCTCAAGGAGCAGCAGACCAAGTTCTGTCACTCGGACACCGAACTGGATCCACCGCAGAAGGCGGGCAAACAGTGCCACATTGGTGGCCCAAACCACCAGTCGGACTACCTGCAGCTGCCCTCCGTTTGCACCTGTCCCTATTTCGGCGATCGGCCGCTCCAGAATTGCGTGAAAACGGCCGAGGTGAAGATCATCTCCTCGGCCTTCCGGGTGACCACCACCACGACGACGGCGGTGAGCAGTTCGCCCAGCGAAATGGAGCTGCTCATGTGCACAGGTGGTGGCACCAAAAAGTCCCTGACCTCCAGTGTGAGTGCCGGAATGACAGGAGGACCAGCAGGACCTCCACCTGCCACCGTTGGCTCCACACTCAGTCCGCACTCGGCCCACAATCAGGGCAGTTCCCTGACGGTTCAAAGCGATGGCAGTGGCTACCTGGCTGCCCCGGGAACTCCCTGTCCCGGCAGACGAAAGCTGAGCATCTCGAAGACCGCCTCGGTGGTCACCTGGGATTCGAGTCGCCATCGCCGGCGGGGCAGCAGCTTTGGCGGCGTGCGAACATCCTTGCTGCTGACGCCCACCAAAACGGCCACCGCCTCCACCGCTTCGTCCACCCCGCTGAGAAGATCGGCCACTCTGAGGAGCCACCAGAACATGAACTACCAGGGACAGGGAGATTGTGGAGCGGGCAAGACCAGGACGACCACTTCGTCGCCCTGCATGTTGCAGCGACAGCAGACAGTGCGGTCGCATCACTCGCGCAATTCCAGTGTGATCTCCCGGAACTCCTCGCGCCACGGCAGGATCATCCGGCTGGAGCAGAAGGCCACCAAGGTGCTGGGAGTGGTATTCTTCACCTTTGTGATCCTATGGTCACCCTTCTTCGTCCTCAATCTCCTGCCCACGGTGTGTGCGGAATGCGAGGAGCGCATTAGTCATTGGGTCTTCGACGTGGTCACCTGGCTGGGCTACGCCAGCTCCATGGTCAATCCCATTTTCTACACCATCTTCAACAAGGTGTTCCGGCAGGCGTTCAAGAAGGTCCTGCTCTGCCGGTATTCCAGCACGAGTGCCTGGCGACCCAGCAGATAGCAGACGCCCGTGAAGCCGGGCAAACTCAAGGCGAATCCCCACAAGTGCGCCAGTGTGGACTTTCAGGATTCCACAGCCCCGGTGCGGGGAGTCCTCAAAAGAAGTGTGGCGGTGGCAAGTGACATATAGGTCTGTCGGTCATTTCGCCTGCGGTCCACCGCTCAACGTGTCGTATACGTAATCTCGGAGGAATGAGGAGGAATGCATCCCATTCCGGCGCTCGCACGTGTTTCCTTGGGGCTTAAACGCTTATGTGCCTCTAATTAATTTCAAATTCAATTTGCATGCCATTGAAAACACATGGATCCCCGCAGGATTGCCAAGGGTCTGGCTTGGAAATGGGATGAGATGGGATGCGATGGGATTAAGCTGGCCGCAGACAACAGCATAACGAGCATAGTGCTCTACTCTTGTGGTTCCTCGGCGAATTACGATTTCCCTGGGCTTTCAGCAGACGGTGAGAGGATGCAATTAATTGCGGAATGTTTGTTTTGGAATAACATAATCCCGGAAACCGCATTAACTGTTTTGTGGTCGAGTTGAAGTGCAAGTGCACAGAAAACTCCAACAATCTACCGGAAATTCCATTGTGTCCTTCAGACTAAAGGTGCAGAAAACATCGATGTTTCTGGTTTAACATTTAATTTTCTAACCAGAAATTAAACGATTTAATACCAGCTCTTTAAATGCTCCGCAAACATAGGAAAAAACCAAATGTCGCTGTGCCAAACTTCAATCGATAAACGAAATTTTGTTTCGGCATTTGGCAATTATGCATTAAATTTATGGCAATTTCGCTACCCGCAAATGCACAAAGAATTCCATCGGTATCCATTAAAGTAACCGACACGTACACAAATCCACGGCAATTTGTGACTTTTGTTGTTTGTTCGTGTGGCCTCCGCTCTTCGGCCGGCAGATTGCTATTTTTATTTGAAAAGTTCATTCATTTTGTTTTATTTCTGTGGCCAAATGAAAAATTTCAGCTGGTCACGTAAGAATTTGACGGTCAGGATGTGGACGAGGATATCCAGTAGGTGAAAGCCGGCGGCCAAGTTGAACAAAAAAAGCAGAAGGCATCGGAGCAGCTGGCTGAGAAGGCTGAAGGACATCAAACAACAAGGGGCTAACTGTAATAACGAAAGCCGGATGAAAGTTTCCAATGTGCTGCCAAGTTTAAAAGCCCCAGATGAGCGGTTCGCTTTGGATGGGAATGGCAGATGATGGAGATGGGGGGCAAATGATAGGTAATGACGCCATTAGTGGCAGCCACTCAAAGGCCCGATGTCTCGATGACACCTCACAAAACAGCCGGCAAAATTTGTACCATTTTTGCTGACAAATTTTTAGCGCCTCCCCCGCTCCCCGAAAAACTTCGCTCAGCAGGCGACGTCGTCGTCGTCGTCGCTGGAAAATGCTGAAAACAGACATAAGGAAACCCCCGTGGCACTTGGAAATTTATAGCAATTTTATCGCCGGCGGAAATATTTTTTCCACTTCATTGAATCCCCGGCAGGATCGGCTCGGTGGCAAAGTGTCGCACTCGGGGAACTTCATTGAACTTTAATGGCAGGCCGTTGGGCAAACAACAAAGGCCGTCAGAGACAGTCGTTTGGCCAGGTCCTAACCCCACTTCCGTTTCCTCAAGCGGGGAGAGGTCCTTCCGCTGATTCGGCAACATATGCTCGTTTGCAGGCGGGCAAATAAAAAACTAACAGCAGGAAATCCATTACAGAAGGCCGAATACCTTGGAAAAGTTTCTCAAACTCTGATTTTTCAGCAAAGAGTGCAAATACTGGATTATCAGCAAGTTTCTTATTTTTATACCCGTTACTCGTAGAGTAAAAGGGTATACTAGATTCGTGCAAAAGTATGTAACAGCTAGAAGGAAGCGTTTCCGACCCCATAAAGTATATATATTCTTGATAGGGTCACTAGCCGAGTCGATCTAGCCATGTCCGTCTGTCCGTCTGTCCGTCTGTCCGTCTGTCTGTCTGTATGAACGCTGAGATCTCAGAAACTACAAAAGCTAGAAGGTTGAGATTTCCCACACATATTCTTTGGCTTCCTACGCAGCGCAAGTTTATTTTAGCCGAGCGCCACGCCCCCTCTAACGCCCACAATCGCCCACTAACGATTTTAAAATGGGTCCTGCGCCCACATCTTTAAAGATTTCCGAGAAGTATAAATGCAATTTTGTTGTGTATATTTATACCTATCGAAATGTAGAAGACATTTTTCAAATCGGACCATTCATTAAAAAGTTATACGCTTTATAAATTGTCAACATATATCTATCTCCCTCGCACTCCCTTTAGCTGAGTTACGATTATTAGTCGGGACACCAACCCGACACAGCGTTCGCACTTCCTTTAGCTGAGTGACGGGTATTAGATAGTCGGGACACGAACCCGACTATAGCGTTCTCTCTTGTTTATTTCCAAAATTGCTAAATTTCAAAGGTGATTTCCATGGTTCTAAGGTTTTATTACAAAACTTTTATAAATATTTTGGGACTCAGCTTCAGATTACAACAGAATTCTGAGCTAAAGTACTTTCCTGTGACCACTAACTAAAAACTTTTCCAGCTTTATTGAACTGCTTAAAAAGTTGGAAGAACTTTTAAAGTTACCAAAAGGCAAAAACCTAAACAATAGACAAGTTTTTGATAGTAGAAAATACTCAACACATTGCATCAAAATCACATAAAACCTAGAATGAATTCACAATAGCATAAGTTTAAAACGAATTTAAAACAAACTCACAGCAAATTAAATATAACATTTAATCGATGTTTTGAATGGTAAAAAAATAAAAACTACCTATTAAGATGTATATTGTAGATTTGATCATTGGTTTATGAAGTAAATCAAGAAAGGGGAGCATTGTGACAAAACGCTTTTACCAGTAGTCCTAGCTATAAGAAAGTGGCACTTCGCCGATGCAAACTCTGAACCTAAACTGATCTATGGAATAAGTAACTCTTGTAAATACCAACTACCAACAACAATAACACCCTTGGGGCAATCAAGTTGTTTATTCTTTGTGTGCTAGCTTAAGGGAGTGATTTCTGTAGAAGATGAAGATCCCATCAAGCCTTGCCCTGATTAGATTAGAATGTATTGTAGCTTGATCGGGATGTTTTGTGATTTGTGGATGGAACATAGATGGAACATATTTACGATTGTAACTCAAACTATCAAAAAAACCTACAGGACAATGGGTAACAGAGAGCATTTTCTAAGGGGTCAAACTTAAGGTTTCCGCACTGCGAAACTATCGAATTTGTAAAAGAATCTAGAAAAGTAACCCGAAACCAAGCTCAAGTTTTACATAGATATTTGGCCTAAGCAGCTGAATAAATCAAAATTGCTTTCGCCGGGACAGATAAAAAATAAAAATAATTATTAATAGTTAAAAAGAAAGTCTTAATAGCCCGAAGTGACATATCCCCGTGTATAAGTGTGTATTTTATGATAGCCATAGCGAATCCTTCCTAACCTAAGTCAAAGACACTGAATCGTAGATAAACAAATATGTGAAACATATTAGCTATAAAGTATTATGATTTGTACAAATGTTTTCTGATTGTATTTGATTTGTATTAAATGTGCATTACATAAATGTTCGGCAACTGAGTTTTATTATAATAATCAAATAATCATTATTAATGGTGATGATGATTGGATTCTCACATGCGCAACTCAACAAACCCCTGAATTTTTTTACCTCTGAACTATTTAAAAATGTTCAATTAATATCGCAACAAAAGTTACTTATTCTTACAATTTATTTTCCTTTTAAGGCTTACAACTTGTAAGCATTGTCTACTTTTGCGGTCAGGTATCTTTTCACAAAGTTGGAGCTCATCTAAGAATAACCATCCGCCTAATTGGCCTTAATCCCGCTTAAGTTGTGGCTTTTTCATGGTTGCATGAAAATAGAATGATTTCCATTGACAGGCGGACAGCGACTGCAATTCAAATTCAATTTCCGCTGCCCACGTTTTGTCCACTCCAACAGCATTGCGTATACGACCAGTTGTCCAGCGTGGGTCGCTGCAAACCAAACAGAACCGAGCTTACTGCATTAGCGTCACAAGTTAAACGATAATGATAATTATTCCCGCGCACTTGACAAATTAATGCACGCTAATGCCGCACAAATTTTGTACTTCAAGAGGCCGCAGAATTTCCAGCAAATCCCCCAACAAAGTCTCAAGTAAAAAAAAAAGAAGCACCGTAAAAAATGAGCAAAGTCGAAATTGCGACTACTCAGCGTCTCTTAATTTTATTTGCAGCGTTAAGGGCTCGTAAAGTAGCGCAGAAAAGCGTAGAGGCCGTTTAATGGATTCCCTTTGCCCTCTGCCCCTTCTGAAGCCCCCTGAAGCCCTCTTCACTTGATACAAAAAAAAGTTGCCATAATAAACGGTTTTTGTGCGAAGCGACAACGCCGCCAACTTGAAATTTCTGGCCAAGAGCGCCTGCGGGTAGGCGGCAAAAAAGGAAAGCATTGCCGAAAACTCTGAAGCACTTTCATGCGCTTTCAATCTGCATATGTGTGTGCTCAAAGGTGCGGGTGATAATGGTACTTTTTTCTTCTTTTTGGTTTTTCCCAAATATTTGCGAGTGCAAGAGCGGCTTTGTGGGGAAAGGGGGAGGGGGCAGGCAGTTGGTCCTGCACTTAAGTCCGCGGGCCTACAACGAAGCGGATAGCGGGAAAAAACCACTCACATTTGTTTGTTTATTGGTCGCACATATCAGAGAAACAACAAAGGAAAGTAAAGCCGTTAAAATATTTTTGTTTCACGAATAAAGAACTCAAACAAAAGTAGTAAGCGACCAATTATTACCCTGTATAGTAAAAGAAAATAATAGATACTTGGGTTTGCGAAAACGAGATATTAGAAATTTTCAGAAGAACCTTTGAAAAACTTAAGAATATTCTTTTCTTAAAAATTCACAAAAAAGCTAAAACTATAAACTATAAGTAATCTAGTACTCAGATCATCGAGGTGAGTTGAAATTGCTATACTTATAGCCTTCAATATCTAATAATACAAAGCTTACAAGCCATCAGCACAAATATCTAACCCAAAAGAGATCCTTTTGCATATTTGCATCAAAAGTAGGAACCTAAAATCAGCTTATGCAGACCACTTGGCTTTGAAAGCCAAGACTGAATGTGTAACAGGATTTCGCAGTCCTCATGTTCAATTGCCAACAAATTGTGTGCAGTTCTGCTGGGTATGCAGGGTATGAAAAGCCTCAGTTGCTGCAGATTCCCAATATAAACCATTGCCTTTCTACCAAATGGACATGCAATCGCACATTTATATGCACATATATATATGTCGGCAGCGGGAAAGTGGGAAAATCATGCCACCTGCCATGAAAACTGTGTACATTGATTGCATTGATTTATGGCCCAGATGCTGCTCCATGCCGCTTGTTGCGCACTTTATGGCCATTTCGATTGGCTCTTTGCATCAGCATCAGCACAAAAGGCTGAATAGCCTGCCTTCTGCCATCTACCAAGTGCCATGCAATTCTGCAACATTTTAAAGCCGCTTTGCGGCAAAAAGCCAAAGCCAGTCCACACAACTGACACACCCACGGGCCCACAAGAATCCACATGAGACTATAGTCACATTATGGCGAATCAAAATCAATCAAATGGCAAGGCGATCACAATGAAGTGGGTGGGGACAGGGAAACGTTTTCCATTGTTTCCATTTCCAAACGAAATGGGGAGAATTTAACTCAAATCTTGCGGAACCTTTTTAATAATTTATCAATTTTTTGGTGAATTAAAATATTAAAAATCTAATATTATCTTCTTTACTTTAAGTGAATAAAATAATATATTATTATAATATTGGTACTTTAATTTATTTATTTGAATGTTTACTGCTCAGATAATAATAATATTATACAAAGGTTTCGTTTTCTTTAATCTTATAGAAAATGGAATTTACATTGTGTTGTATTTTTGTGTACTTGTTTTCAATGGAAATTATTTTAATTGTATAAAAATTAATTTAATATTATAATCATTAATTTTATTTTTTTCGTTTTTTTATGTTTCATTGTACAATAGTTATTTAAGTTAACTCAGTTTAAAAAATTCTATAAGTTAGTTAGACCGAAAATATGTTGACTCCGATTTGATACTCGGATTCAAACTGGGAACAGACTCAAGACTTAGAAGGGCCAAAAGCTGCAGGCGGCTAATTGAAAGCTTGCACCTGAACGTGCCTGACAAATTGTTGAGCAGGTAAAGAACCCGTTAACAAGGATATCCACTCACCACCCAAACGGCTCTCCTTAATGGGAAATTATATGCAATGCGGCTTTGTTTTGTTTCGGCCAGCGTGTGTGTGTTTCAGCCTTTCGGGGGCAAGGGGAACGGGGTGGGGGAATGCAGAGTCCTTTGTCCTGTCCGCAGGCGAATGTCCGTTGGCTGAATTGGTTGCAATTTATGTGACAGCATCAACCGACACAAACACACACACGCATACCTCACATATCGCAAAGCCCCATTTACCTTTATGTTTGCCGGGCGACATTGCGTATGCGACATGTTGCACAATCCAAAGGCAATTGGGCCCTGAATTTGACAATTACTCGCCTCGATGTGGACAATATGTAAATGTAATATAAAGTAGTAATGGAATTAGCCAAACAACGGCCAAGCCCTTTGACATCGGCAGTTGGGGCTGTCCTGATTAGATTACCGTCCCCCATAATGATGATGGAACATAATTTTCACAGGTGCCTTCTGCCTGGTCCCTACTGAAGTGTGAATTGAATCAGAGTTCATTTGATCACGGCTCAAGTAGAAAATCATAATGACTTTAAATTATGCCAATTTTGCTACCTAACCTAAGAGAAATCTTATATGAATTTTAATTATTATTTGGAAAGTAGATGTTTAAAAGTAGATGGATAAATAATTTTTTTTCTTGTTATTACTTTGATAATATTTATAATTTCCTATTTTATTACTTATTTATATTTTTTTAAATAAATGAAATTTTTTAAGAAAACATTTATGCAAATGGTTCTTTGGTACATTTTATAAAGTAATCATAGAGCTTTTTTGTAGATGCATCACAAAGCAACAAAAATAAACCGCCTAATCACAATCTAGACTATTTTAAAATCATAATATTCCGCATCCTCGACAGCTGTCTTCCGTTTGCCCGAGAAAAACTCGAGTGTGAGTTGACAAGCCGGAGGTGATGGGGCCTAATATTGATTGCTTTCAATTAAAATACCGCCAGCTGACTGCCGAAAAAGTTGACACGGCATGCCTTTGTGTTAATTTAATTTCAAGAGACTACTTCAAAGTTGTCGACTGAGGGAGGGGCCGAGTGCCGGGATATTGACGGCATTGCCTGCGGCTAGATCCTGTCAATTCTATGCGGGCACTCTAGACAGTTTTTGTTGGCCCATTGCCAGGCCACTGACAGCAGGATGGAAAATGGACAGGATCGGGGGAAAGTTCTGTTTTCACTCATCCACTCAACTTTAATTCACTCAGTAGGAGCTATGGTTTAAAATTGAATTTGTTTTTTGTGAGCTTTTTATGTGAAGCTAATGGGACGAAACAAAATAAACACCATTAACATATAGTTGAAAATCCTTTTAAATGTGCAACCAGTAAAAAATCCTTTAACTATACTTTTTCTCTGTAAATAAGTAATATAGATTGTAGTGAGCAGAGTTCAATTGGCTATTTTGAAATGAATAAATAAATGCCTTTCCTAGTTCGTTTTTAAGCTGAATACTTACTTGTCATCGCTGACTGGCCAATTTTAATTCGAAATTGGAATATTCATATACTGGCATCAAAGAAGACATTTTTTTCCAATCATTTTATTATTAAATTCTTTCGATAACCTTTTTTAATGAGTTTCTTTTTCCAGGGAGATATCCTGGCTAATGCTGTCTATATCTGCAGATGGTTTGATTTATCCGGGCAATCATTGCGCCAGCTTATTTCTCCATTTATGGGCTTTGGCCCGTAGTCAATGCAAATGCTCCTGCCATTCGAATGCATTATTTTTCCAGCTAAACCCATGGAGACCAGGCACTTTGGTAGTAGGTAGTTTGGCCCTCCTACCTCCCGTTGCCTTGACAACTAGCTGGTTGGCATTTGTGGGGGAAATATGGCAGGACATTTGTCTGCGGACCGGCAAGCTCAACTGTGCAGTGCGCTTATCAAATATCGTGTAATATAAATGTCCTGCTGGCCCCGGCAGACACGCATAAAGGTAGTTAGCGTGGAGGGGAAACGGAAGTGAAAGTAGAAGTGAGGAAAGTGAAAGGCATTTCCGCAGACGAAACCGAACCGAGCAAGAGCACAAAAAGCACAATACAAAGGGAACAAAAAGGTAATCATCTAAGCGCGATGGGCGCCCTAAAGTAGGCGGCAAAAAACTGAAACAAATGAGTCTCTATAAATACACACGTAGCAATGCCCCATTCACATTCGCATTCCTCATTCTCTGTTTTCCATTTCCCATTTTACCATTTCCCACATCCATCCACCCGGATCCGAAAGTTATAGCAAGTCACCGGGAAAAGAAAGAAAACTTTTCGCTATGTGGGTGTCTGGGTATTTGTGTCTGTGACACAATGAAAAATGCAAAGCGCAAATGAGTTGAAAACTTTGCCATAAGTTTGTGTGCGTACGACGTGCAATCGCAAAATTAAAGGCGACTTTTAGGCTTCTTACAAAATCTGAGAACTTTGTTCAACAGATACGCGTAGACATTACAGGCCAATTTTGAGTGGGTACATTAGCTTTCAAACTTAGCCTCGTCAAAGGGAATATTTGCTTGCCTTTCTAGGCTTAGTTTTTTGGACAGAATACAATGCAGTATTTGAAGGAGGAGAGCTTTTAGTATAGGTACAAAGGGAATATTAAAACATAAATAAATAATAAATAGTTAAGGTACCATTAATATTTTGCCCTTCTAGAGAGCATCTAATTATCGCCTTTCAGAGAGCTTTCACTTTCGAAACGGGAAGTTCCCTGAAAAAGGGCTGTTTATCAGTGACAAGCCAAGGGCAACAGAGACATGGGACTTATAGCCGCTTTTCGCGGAGGTTCGTTAGCTCGTGCTGCAAAATGTTAAGTAAACATTGGGAGGCGGAAACGCAAATATTATTTGCATTTTACTCGACATGTTTTTAATGTGCTGAATAAATATCACCGCTTACAAACGATAAGAATTAAAGCGGTTCCAGTTTAGAGATCCGTTTCGGCCTTCTTGGCAGCCAGCTTTTGCAGCAAAGTCAAGAAGCTGAAGGCCTGCGTTATAACCTAAAGGGCAAGGTAATTATTTAAAGACGATATGGGATTTTAAAGCCTTACCGATCTCAAACGATTCACATCCATCACGTAAAACTTGCCGGCGGTCACGTGGACGGCGCGTCGGCTGTTGACCAAGAAGATGAGGATGTCCTGGCGGATGAAGTGGGCGTGCTTCCACCAGGATCCCCGCCAGAAGGAGTCGCCCGATCGAATGCTATGCCGACTCAGCAACTCGCCGCAATAGGTGAACATCAGCAGCTCGAAGAGTGTGAGTCCCAGGTACTGCAGTTGGTTGACAATCCGCAGGACCTCCCGCGTTCCCGACACCCCCACAAAGACCAGGAGGCACAGCTGGATGGTGATCTGCAGGGACTTGACCAGACAGTACGGGCTGAAGAGGTTCTCCAGCTCCACGGAACAGTGCAGAATGAAGCGATGCAAGCGGACGCATTCCACCAGGGCACTGTGAAACACGTTTCCATGACCAGGACATCGGCGTCTCGCCGAAACCATCAGCAGATCAGTGGGGTGCTCCTGCAGCACGGCATACTGATTCAACTCCCTGGTTGCGTCCTCCAACAGCATCTCATCTTGCAGTAAACTGAAATGTTAAATAATGTTGGTAAATAAAAAGTGATTATTTAAAAATATTTGACCTGAATTTTACAAATTTCTCAGTGATTTTGAGTTTTATATCTATATAATAAATTTCTATAATTCAGTTAATTTTTGAAAAATAACAGCAATTTTTTTTATTTATGTCCTACATTTTTAAAAATTTTCATTAAATATAACAAAAAAACCGAATATTTTATTAGGTTCATAAATTGACTTTATATGTGCAAAGTAGACTTTTGTATTTCAAATTTACAATTTGAGATCTACAAACTAACAACTAAAATAATTTAAAAGATTTCAAAATATAAATATTTTCAAGAGACAATAAAAACCAAGCCCAAATTAATGAAGTGTCCATTATATTTTGTCAAAATAATAATATAAAATACAAACCTCAGGCCATTTACCGACTCGCCGGCCAGCAGCTTGGCATGGGCATCCAGGTTCTTCAGGCTGCAGTAGAGCACATCGAACTGGGCCAGGAGCAGCAGGCTGAGGGTGACGAACAGCGATCCCCCGAAGCCAAAGGTCACGCCCACGAGGACCTGGCCGAAAAGCTGGGTGGCATACACCGCCGAATAGGTGACGGGGGCAAGGGCGTCAAAGGGATACCAGCACTGCAGCGGCAGCATGCGGATGCCCAGCATCAGGGGCGAAACGCCCCAGGAGATCACGCCCAGCAGGCAGGCCATTATCCACACGGCCGTGAAGTTCCAGGACTTCCTGAAGGCCGCATACGAGCTCACAAAGGTCACCCCGGCCAGCGAGTGGTGGCGATACTCGCGGTTTATGTGCTCCATGTAGGCCAGGAGGCGTCGCGAGCGCAGGCACCAGTAGATGGTTCCGTAGCCCGTGAAAAAGTATATTATGGTCATGGTGAGGGCATCGGTAATGGCCTGCAGCTCGCCCGTTGGCAGGACATCCAGTGTGGTTTTGGTGAACAGCACTCCCAAATGCAGCGATGTGAAAATCACCATTGAGCAGTAGGCTTTGGCCAGAAGTTTTCCGCCCATTCGCAGCCATTTTGGCCACCATTCGGGCAGCCTGGGCGAGGGTTTCATGCCCATCGCCAGCTGCAGACCCATCAGCAGGCGAAAGAGATTCGATTCCCTCGCCGGATCCAGGCTAATATCATACCTGATGTCCGCATCGACGTTGCCGTGGAACTGAAGACTGGCCATCTAGACCGACTACTTATGGACTGCTTGAGTCCTTCGGAGCTCCTATTTAAAGGAGCCTAAATTTATGCATTAATGAGCTTTTAAAAGTTTTCCTCCAATGGAAAGGTGTCCGACTGGGCGTGGCTCATAATTTACCAACTAAATGCCTAATTGCCCCTGAAAAGCCGTTCGGCAAAGTTGGCGAATATTTCGAAATATGAAGCTCAATTTTAACACGAAGTGTACTTAGAAATTGGAAAAAAGTTCAAGGTTCTTCTTAGAAGCAAAGAAGGGTTAATGCGGTTCATCTATGTAGAATGTCTGCTTACTTTTGTTACAATCAAAGGTGTCTGGGTGGGCGGGGCTCATAATTAACCAAGTGAATGACTAATTACTTTTTTAAACAAAAGTTTGGTTAAAGTTATCGAAATGTTTGGAGCTATGTACTCTATGTACAAACCACAACAAAATTTTTAAAATGTTTAATTAGTTCAAGGATGTTTTACAAATTATGTTTATAGTGCAAATATAATTCATAAATTTATTTTAAAATTCTTGCTATTTTTTTAACATTTTTCTAACAAAAGTATACGATAACGTTTAACTAAGCTACTCATAAAACCCCATTTTTCCTATTAATAACATTATTAACTCTTCATTGCATATCGTCAGTCTTCAATGAAAAAATTAATACAAACAACCTAAAACCGCAGACAAATTGCCAATTACACACGTTTTTATTTCCAGTCACCTCTCCTTTTAATTGTCATTACGCAATTTTGTATGCCCGACATGAGGGGGTTTGTGGCTAACGTCAGACTTGACCTTCGGTGTACGGAAATATCCTTAAAAATAATGGCAGTGCAATTTGCATTTATTGAATATGAATGTGAAAATCCATAGAGGTTATTACCCACGCCTAATTGCCCCCAGAGCAACGTGGCATTCAACATTCGACACTCGTCAGTCGACATTCGGGAGCAATGAAAGGAAACGGGTGAAATGGCTCATAGAAAATGCTAATTGCCGAGTGAACTTCGCACACCTTGCAGGTGGCAAAGGCCAAACCATATGTTAGCGTTTCGTGATCATGGAAATTAGTCCCGCATTTAATTAGCCCCCTAGCGACGTGCAATTAGTTCCACAAAATAATATCGCATTTAGCGAGCGGTTCGGGTTGACAAGTGCTTTTGGCCAACTTTTGACCGACCATCCCATTCGTAAATGCAAACTAATTTAGTTCCCTGCGGACATCTTTTTTTTTATTTTTTCATTTGGCTTTTTGGGGGTCTGAGATGTGAAATCTGAAATGTTTGGTTTGCAAGCCCGCGGGTTTAAGACTGAGTTATCTCTGGTGCTTGGCAGCTACTTGGCCAAATTGTTGTCGGGCTGTAAAATGGTGAAACTTTACAGCGACCACGTCCTTTGCTTCCTCGCTCCTTGAATCCTGGGTTCATAAGTATATGTATCCCCAACTCGGCCTCTTCAGTCTGTCAGCCTGTTCTCACGCATGTCGAGAGTTGTTTCGAGTGAAATTCACCTGCTGTGATTTATTCAATCAACTTGTGCGACGTCCCACACAACGGCTCCCGCTCAGGCTGCCTTTATTATTTAGACATCTTTGTTGTCTCCGCCGAGATGCGAGTTTAATGTCACTCGCCGGGCTAAACAAACTTGGCTGCCACATTTAATCTGCATAATTTTTATGAAAATTACAATAACGAAAACGGGGGAAGAAGACGATGGCGCATAAGATACAATTTCACTCATAGCCAAAGAAATTACTTTCAAGATGTTCCACGTTTGTGGTGCTGCTTTAATTGCCGTCACACGCGTCGTATGCGTAATGAAAATTTGCAATACATGGTTAATAAAAACTGTAGTATCAGTCAAGTATCACAAATTGTTTAAATAAATGTTCAAAACAGTTGTGCTGTAAAAATAACTTATTGTTATGAAAATGTATTTAATTATCTGCATTCATAAGATTATCGGCCATTTAAGCTCTCCCAATGGAATAAATGGCCATTTATTGAAATGTATAAATAATTTTAAACATAATCCATGTTAAAGAAAGTCTCAGTTTTTGTTTCATGTTTCTCAAAAATTGATTGAAATAGTTTGGCTTCCCATTTATACATTTTTTTTTTCCAAACACATTCACATTTTTATACTCCTTTATTATATATTCCCGTAATCCAGTGATAAAATAAAATTAACAGAAAAAGAATGTATTCATTTTGCTTTGGCGGCACCTGGCGAATGCGCAGTTTTTAATTAAATGTCGCTACGTACCGAGATATATGAAAATGAAAATAAAATAAATTCCCTGCTACCTGGAAAAATATTTTTAGAGCTTGGCGAGTCCATCGCCGCAGACCATTTCATCTGGATTTCCGGGGAACTGGGTGCGATTGCATTGTGCTGCAAACTTTTTAATTAATTGTGCTGGCCAATTTTTCGGCGGCAGCCAAACGCTGTAATTGCAATTGAGTGTTGCACGGGGCAGTTGGGAAGTTGGGAAGCTGGGCAGGTGAGAGTGGACCACACGGACATCGCTAATTTGGTGCCGCCAGACAAGCGGGAAAAGCGGGACTGGCGGGTCAATCAGTTGGCCATTTGGGTGGCCAGTTGCCCAGGTGGTTGGGTAGGTGGGTGGTGAAGTGGGTTCGAGCCACTCTGTCCAAAGGTCCTTCAGTCACGCGCTCTCCGCTCGCCTCATGTTTGCTAATTTATGCGGCACTGCAGCCGCAGGGCGACGGTAAACAGCGAGCGGTAAAAGTTTCCCAACTGGCACTGAACAAGGAGAAAAGGTTAGCGTGGAAAGCCGAGGCCTAGAATACTCTTTCAAAGGGAAATATGTATGAAGAACAAGCAGGAATTGAAATATAGTTCATGCTATTAGGTCATTACACACTTTCTTAAATTTTTCAAAAATCTTGGCAACTTATAGATAAATATTTTGACTCGATTTATAAAATATACTTTCTTCTAAGTCGTTAGAACTTTTGAAATTAAATTCAGTTAGTTATAATACAGCTACAAAGTCATTTTTGAGGTGTATAAAAAAATTACAAATATATTAATTTTAAAAAAAATATTTAGAAAAACAATCTTTTAGTTTGATAATCCTTAATGAGGAAAGGTTTTATCGTTTTTAAGAATCATTGTATTTTATTTGTGTACCCCTAGCAAGGGTACAAAAGGGGGATACTGATGGAAAAAGCGGAAAATGAAATGGAAATGAGAAGTGGAAAATGGAAAATGGGAAACAGGAACAGGATCGGAAGAGGTCTGGCTCCTGGCAACGCCTGTCATTGTTTTTGCCGCTCTTGTTCGCGCTTTAAACTTTGCTCTCGCTTCGATACCCACCGCCCACATTCATTACACATTGATGGCCAAGTCTTGCGCCTGTTGTCCTGCCAGGCCACCCACTCAACCCACTCCTCCCCCTCCACCCACTCGTCATCCGCTTTACAGTTGAATGTTGCCTTTTATTTCCTTCGGCCGCTGCACAAAACAATTTGTCAAACAACAAGCGAAAAACTTTCTTCACTCCCGGGAGGTTAAGGTTCAACACATTTCCACTTTTATGAGGGCCAGTTAACCCCAAAGAAAACCATTTTAAATTGATAGAAAAACTTTCAGTTTGCATCGTTTCAATAATTTATTTAAACAGAAGAAAATATTATTTTCATAATACCATAAAGTTGAATTGAAATAAAAAAAGGTATTTGTAATAGGTTTGCTCAAACTAAATGATTGGAAAATATTTGTTGGCTTAAAACAATGGGTATTTGTAAAAAAAATATAATTTTGATTTAATCGGCATTTAAATAAATATTTTTGGTCGTCAGAGGGTTAAGCTCTGTCCCCTGAGGTGGGCGAAAATACGGCAGATTCTTTAAACTTAAGGTTAAGTTGGCAAACTGATACGATGAACACAAACTGCCGGAGTACAAATGCCCGAGTCGACTCGACTCGAATCGCATAGCTGACATCCCTCGAAGGCCTGGCTTAGAATTTGCCGAGTTTGTTAGGTCGTTTTGTTCGGCAATTTTGAGCTGGCTGGCAAAAAAGTTTCTAATGCAATTTTGTTAAATATTTTTGCTCTGATTTCGTTTGGCGCCCCCAGGAAAATAGTTAAGCACCCGCCACGATCAAAATGTCCCCCAAACTATATATATATATAAGCTCTGCGGGCGGGTGCCACTTTTTTTTCCCCCATTTATTTTGGCAAGTGAAAACTAAACTTTTCGACCTGCCAAATTGAGTTTGGAAGTTGCAAACTGTCTCAACTGACAGGCCACATATGAGGCTAATTCAATTGGAGGTAAGTGGTGGCACTTTCTCCCCCTGGCCACGCCCACCCAAGGCCACCCGCCCCACCCGAACTACAATAACAATTAGCATTAACACATTGATGAGGCGCCACCGCTTTGCCCCAGTAACTCCGCGGTTTGTTGTCCTAGTAAATGTGGCCGGGATTTGCTTTGGCGCGTGTCTCGTAAAACGGGAGTAAACTTAATTACAGCCAGGATCTGCAGCAAAAGCAGCAGCAGCAGCTGCTTGTTAATGCGGTTTCTGGGGAAGTCCCCTCGTCCAACTCCCACGCCCACTCTGGTCTTCTAACTGAAATGTATTTGCTTTATTAGTTGCTCCTGCGGGCGCCTTTCCCTCACAAATGTCTTACTGTAATTAACGCCCACGGTTAGGCAAACAAAAGCAAAAGCCGTCTAAACACACGCGACTATAGTCTATAGTCTGTAGTCTGTGGAAGGCGCTGCATTAACAAAACTCAGCCAAGTGTTACCTGCTTTGCGGTTCAGCGGGAATCGAGCAAAATTGTTTGGAAGTGTCAAAGGGGAATTACAATTAATTGAGTACGACTAAGACGATAAAGCGTTGAACCAAAACAGCCAACAAGAAAGAGCCGTAAGGTTTTTGGCTTAATTTTTATAATTATTATTGAATTATAAAAATATATATATTTTATATAAATATTATCATGTCATCATAATATCATATTAATTGCTATAACAACAGAAACAGCCTACAAAAATGAGCCGTTGATTGGGATTATAAATCATATACAGTAATACAACTTTCAGGGATTTGTTCTATAATTAAACTCTTATAAAAAAAAAATACATTAGCCAAAACATTGCACCTTAAAGACACAAGATACCTGAATATTTAAGTAATAATCAAATTTCTTCAAAAGCACCTTAAATATCCCGTTTGACGAATGAATAAGAAGTGAATTGAGAATGACTGAAGGGTAAATGCTAATCAGGCTTGAGTGTAATACGAATTCGTATTTCTCAAATCTCTAGATGAATCGCCCTCCAATTGGGGCTCCAGCTCGGAATATGTGCTCATTAAAATCTGATTTGGTATGCAGGCGAACAAAGCATTCAGTCTGCAATTGAAGGAATCATGTGACGGGGAATGCGGAGACCTTGACTGCAGCTAACAGAACAGAACAGGCCAACAGGTGAGCAGGTGAACAGGTGAACAGGTAAACGGGGGCGTCAGACAGCCAAGCTGTGGCCAGTCTTGGCATTCGAGCACCTGCCTGCCCTAATATTCAATTAATCACATTATGCAGGCTGTCGACTCGGATTAGCAGACCTTGCCAGGGTCCCAAGTAACACGGTAATCAACCGGTTCCGAATCCAAAACCGAGGCAAAGTCCCGGCTTGTTATACAAATAACTGGTGGCCAGTCAATTACGGCGACTGGCCAAGGAAATCCAACTAAATATTTTATTATGAGCCAGCGTTTGTCTTGATTATGCGCCAAGTTGCTGGAGGGGAGCGCAACTAATTGAAAACTTGCAAAAGTTTTTCTCATTAATAATAAGCCAGAGCCCTGGCGACTATTTGCTTACGGGGCGGAGCAGTTTCTCCGCCTTCGTCCTCTTCGCCAGTCAGTTTGATTTGTTGTAAATGATTTAATTACTTATTGCAAGGCGCTGGGAAAGCTATTATTAAGTTGGATGCCCGCCAGGCCGCACTAAACACGCGTATTAGATTAATGTTGTGATTACACAGTTATCCCCATCGGGAGATGCTCCATTAAATAGTACGTTTATACTAAAATAAAAAAAATATTTGTAGGAAATTTACATATATGTATGTATATAAATATATTCATAATTTATACTCATAGCGTTCGCCCCTAAATTAATTTGGATTTGAGAAAATATCTTAGTATTGAATTAAAAACAAAAACAATATTAAATAAAAATCAAAATATAATCAATCAAAGAGGCTCTTGTAATGACTCGCTAAATATTACACCTTAACTAGTTTTCGAACAATTAATTTTTTTTGAAATATAACAAATTATTTGGAATATATTTTTGTCATCAGTACTGGACTCCTATTATTTTGACCTTGGCTGTATGCGCCGGCAATCCATCCCTCTCTGTATTTTGAAGCGTTAACGAGTCGCAATCGCTTATTGCATACTTTTCAGCTCCCGTCGAGGGGCTTCCCCTCCCTCATCCCTGTTCCGCAGGATTCACGTTGGCAAGGACGCAGATCCTGCTATTGAATTATGCATATTTCGTTGCAGGCAGTGGAGCTTGAAGTGAAATGGTGGCTGGAGGCTGGCTGCCCAGACAGCAATCTATTCGTTTGTCAGGCGTCGGTGGCGAGGTGAAGCAATACGGGGCGGAGGAAAGGCAAATAGAATTATTACCTCGGCAAAGTGTTGATAAATTGTATTTGCAACAAGTCAATGATTAAGTAAGTTAATACGACAACAAATACATTACCAGGTGACCAACAGTCTTTATTATCTTTTGGGTTTTTATCGCACTATTATTTATGATTACTTTAAATTTAAACAAATTAAAAAATTCTATAATGGTTATATTCTAACAATCTAAATCATTATTGAGCTAAATCAAAGAAATATAACAAATTTAAATCAGGTACAGATTCATTTAAAACTCTTAAAACGAACAAATAATACATATTTAAAAAGTAGAAAAGATCAGTAAAAATAAAAATAAAATTTAAAAAAATATAAAACCAAAAAAAAAAAACAAAAAATCCTTCGAGCCGGATTTGAACCAGCGACCTATGGATTTCTATTGCTTGTTTGCCAACTACAGTCCACCGCTCTACCAACTGAGCTATCGAAGGTCGGTGAGGGGCGCCGATCTAGGGACCTTGTTTAACTACCGGGTGAAAAAATACTATATTTTCATTATTTGATCGTTTTTATATAATTTGTCACAAATAATTTATCAGTTCCTAAATTATATCTGCTAGGGGGTCAGGCTATTTTTTGTTTTTCGATCGCAAAACAATGACAACTGTTGCTACGTAAAATAAAATATAATATAAAAATATCTCAAGAAATTACATTTAATTTGTCTTGGCTTGGTAATCGAATTATTTTTTTAAGAATTTTTTTTTTACCGCTTTTGTTTTGGTGTACATTTTTATATTTATGCAATTTCGGTACTTATTTAAAAAAAATGAGTCAATAGAAAAAGTACAACTGTTGTGTTATATTTATATATTAAATACATTAATGTATTAATCCAGCTGTGCGCAAAGTAAAATAAATTTAAAAAATAAATATAAAAAAAAAAAGATTACATCTTCCGATCCTTCGAGCCGGATTTGAACCAGCGACCTATGGATTTCTATTGCGTACGCTTGCCAACTACAGTCCACCGCTCTACCAACTGAGCTATCGAAGGTTGAAATCTCGGGCGGCCAATGTGCGTGTAGTGTATACGCGCGAGCGAGACAACCTGTTGTTCGTTCGATCTCAAACGATGACGTCAGATTTTGATAAGCAACATGCTTATAAATAAAGCATAAAGTTATTTATTTATATGTACTAAGAGCCCCTCGATTTGAAAAATTTCTGTCGTGCATGTAATTTTTTATAAAAGAACTTTTAAAAAATAACCTCAAAAGGAAAAAAAAACACTTTTTAAAACCACATTCTTTTTAATTCTTTAAATATAAATTCATAAGTAAAAAAATGAATAGCTTTACAAAAGCTATATAACAAAGTTATATTTCTTAATAACGAAGTTAATAGCTTTCCTATCGGGGTAATCAAATGTGATGAATTGGCAGAATAGTTCAAGCCCCCCTCGAAATCACCTCGGCAATTTCTTTGAGGGCAGGAACTTTGACCGGCCCTCAGTTGCAATAGATAGCCCCACTACCAGCCAAGCCAACCTTTCAAGGAATTCAATCAATTATGTTCCGTATACGCAACGTGTGCGGCAAAGTTGTGGGTGAGCACGAACAAGTGCAAACTGAAATCCATTATAGCCATTTGCAAGCTGGCAATTTGTGCAAGGGGAAGAGGAGGACATCGTTAACGAGGTCAACGGCAAAAGATGAAACAAACTCAATTTCCAACGCAGGGAAAATGCAACAAAAATGGCATTTTTAATTGAAAAATTACAGTGTAACCCCTTCCTTCGTTATCTTCGCTCCACTCGGCACAGCGGATAATCCTTTAACTTCAGAGAGATATTACCCTTGACCTGGAGCTCCTCCAAGCGAGCCTCGGTGCTAATTCGATAGCTGCGAAAGATCCTCGCCAGCAGCAGTTTCATCAGCATCTGAGCATATCGGTAGCCGATGCACATGCGCAATCCCTTGGTGAATGGAACGAAGGCGAAGGCGTGCCTGTGTGGCGACTCCAATCCGAAATGCGCCTCCGGGTTGTAGGTACGCGAAAGTGGCCCCCACACCCGTTCATCCCGCTGCATGTTGTAAATATCAATGCCGATCTGGGTGCCACGGGGGATCAGGAACTCCCCGTCATCCCGCTGCAGTTGAATATCCTCTTCTGCGGATCGCAGGACCATGGGAACAGGAGCAAAAAGCCGCATGGCCTCATTGATAACCATTTCAGTGTACTCCAGTCGTTGCAGCTGCTCCAAGGTAATGTCCCCAGTGGGTGCCAGCTCCCTGACCAGTTCCTCGTGGAGTTTCTCCTGGTAACAAGGATGCATGGCAAGGCAGAGAATGGTGAAATAAAGGGCAGTCGATGTAGTTTCGAAAGTCTGAGGAGAGAGAACAAAAATCAGTACTTATTCTTGGTGAAAGGATAAACTATTTTCTTACCGCTGCAATGGTCACATTGGCCTCATCCCTCACATCCTGCCAACTCAGTTGGCCGCGCTCCACATGCTCCCGCACCTGCTCGATAAAAATGGCCTTGGACTTGCCCCGCATCTCCAGTTCCGGTCGCTGCTGCTCCTGCTGATGGGCATTGGCCGAAACCACCGAAACAATGGGTTCGAGAAGCTGCCGGAACAAGGGATATGGGTCATGGCTCACTGATCGGATGAGCAGCTTACCTGCTCTATAAACCCAAAGAGGATGCCGACGACTTTTTGCTGCAGGCGAAAAAGTCCTGAACGTCGGTATATGAGCTCCGGATAAAGCCACGGCGATAGCATGCGTTTCACACACACTTCTGTCAAGCTGAAAGGATATAAATATAAAATATTTATTATAAGAACAAGTTATAAAATAAGTTATTATTATTGGTTTAATTAATTAATTTTTACTGACCCGTTATAAGCTTCAAAAATGGCAATAGATCCGTCATGCTGAAAGTTCATTTTCTTGCCCATCGTTGTCTCTATAAGCCATTCAGTTTAAACCTTGAAGATTAAACATACGTGTAGATACTCACGACAAGCTGCTTCGAGGACGATTTTCTTGAGGATTTGATAGATCTCAAGCTGCTTGCCATGCTGCACACCCTCGAGCTCGAGCTTTTGTAGGAGGATCTTGGCCTCGGCATTGAAAATGGGCAGGAAGCTGCTGAGAATCTGGCGACCAAAGGCGGGATTAATAAGGCGACGATGTTTGTGCCAGCGAGGTGAGCTAGATGTAAAAAGTCCGTCACCTATGGCCGAACTAACGAATCGGTAGAAATCGCCCTTATTGGTGCAGTGCGTCGAGTTGAAAATCTGCTCCACACTTTTTGGATCGTTGACGTAGAGGAAACAACTGGTGCCCATCCACGAAATAAAGGGCGCCTTGAACTGCCGCGACAGACCGTCCATGTACTGCAAAAAGGCTGCCAAGGATTTCAGTTATCGAGTGCCCTTTTTGGAAAGTCCTCTTTGCTCTTACTCTCCGGGCTCATCATCTGTAAGCCCATGCCAATTAGGGGCCAGCCAATGGGTCCGCGTAACTGCCAGGCGGCTTTATAATACCTTCGCCGGCTCCACAGGAAAAATATCCAAGCCAGCAGCAGCCAGCCGCTTAAAATGATGCAGGCCAGCATGTCGTTGAACCTACGAGGCAATTCGTATCCGTAGTCAAAAATTTAATTGCTCCACGCACGGCGTTCGAAGGCAAACTAATTACAGCTCACAGCTCCATTCAGTTTTCTATATGCATGAGATAAACAAATCGTTTATAGGAATCTGAATGGAGCTGTGAGTTGTAAATATATTGTTTTGATGAATTACCGATTTTTTATCAGCCAAAGTTCCTAAAAACAACCGTTTCGCTTGGCTTTGCGACCACAACTCATCTGCTTTTCCTGCTTTTCGTCGATACTCAGCTATAAGTCGTTTTTGTACCTATGTATGTATAAATTTGTCTAGCTGGGGATTACGCATTTGCGGCTTTAATGCAGCTCTTTCCATGCCCACCACGTTGTGGTGCCGATTCTCGATTGGGTGGCGATTTTCATTCGAGTCGTGTGCCCCTCAAAATTATGCCAGTCAATAATAACATGCACCAGACTACGCAAAATTGTAAATTTATATGTCACTTTAGATACCCTGACTGGAAAATGTTCTTGAATTAATATTTCTCAAAAAATATATTTACAAAAAATAAAATTTTAAATATTTTTTAAATTTTCCAAGAGTTTTTAGTTTTTTTATAACATTGATAAATTAAATATTATATAAAAACCATAAACTAAGAATTAAATCGGAATATTTTTATTTTCATCCTATAAATTCAGTTATAATATTTAATAAAAAAACCGAAATGCCATTTATAAGTAGAGAATACCTTAAATTTGACTCTTCTTGAATTTTTTTATTTAGTAATTCCAGTCGAATTCCGCCAACGTCAGTTGAGGGGGCGGGTCCGGCCATGGGTCCCAATGCCCAATCACAACCCCATTTACACAGCTATTACGCATTAATAGAGTTTTTGAATTATAATTTTTATTTGCTATTAATATTTTTACAAATTGTTTTATTTGTGGTGTTTTGCTTTTCCAATTTTGTTCAACAGTTCTATGTTATTCATATTTGTGTATTTTGCCATGACTTTGAATAGTTCCCTTTCGGTATTTGGTTATCCTTGTGTAATATTAGTTTTTGCCGATTTATAGACACAAGCCGGGGTTATTCATATATGTAGACTGTTAGTTAATAAAACTTAGTGCGCTAAGTGTTGAGTGAGCGTCTCATGATTCTGCAATGGGTTTTACTTAGGATCTGGACCCGAATACTGGGATCCCACAAATATTCCGAAACTTAGCACTCTCTTATGTGTAAGCTAGGTTTAAAAGTTTGCAAATATTAATATTGTTGTGGACGTTGCGTTTCCAGTTTTGTCATTGGTTAGATTTAGTTAAGAGCTTTAGGTTGTGGCATAAATTTGCGCTTTAATTTTATTGAAAGGCCTTGGATCAATGGAAGCCAATCTTTGGGGGTTTTGGTGTTAATTTTTCACTTGGGAATTGAGTTCGGGATTGATAGACATAAGAACCGCACCTGACTTGCAGCTTGTTCACAGATTAGTAGATAAATATTTGCCAGTCATATGTCCTTAGTATATCTATCATATATACACAATCCACATGCCCTTGCCGTATCCTCTCAAGGGACGTTAAGTTTTTCTTACTTTACAAATAAATTATACTTCATTTATTGTCAAAAATATTGACGACTCGCGATTGCATTATTCCTGGCATTACACATGAGTTGTATAATATGATTATTCATTCTACCTCTAATTATATCAAAAGTGATCTGCCCAAGTACTTAGGTAATTGTTTTCAACTATACCACCTTGTGATTAGGGAATAAATTCAACATTGCGGCCAGTTAGTATGCCACCATTGTCATGCTTTGTCTGCAACTGTAGAAACTATTTTATCAGAGATGTAGGTTCTTCACTGATGTGACTTTCGAATGGAATGTTAATTAACTTTTGTCTTAGATTATCCCAATGCATATGCTCCCATTCAATAATTTAATTGGTATTTTCTATAAATACTCTCCCACGGGCGAACATGTCTCGGCTGGCCGAACATTACTTGACAAGTCTATATGAAAATTCTGGGATGTCTGTGGGCTTAATAAAAATATATTTAATATTTGTATATATTTCCGCTCTAAATGCTGCATGTTTTAGGATTTTATTTCGCAACCAAACAATAAAAAAGTAAAAGAAAACTGCTGCAGGCTTTTGTTGCATTGCTTACTCTATATGCAACCCGTGCAAATATATTATGCATGTATATATGTATACAAAATAAACTTTGCTTTCACATTGACGCTTGCATAAAAATGTTAATCAAAAAACATTGGTTTCAGTTTTACTTGGTTTTGTTGTTGTTGTTCTTTTGAGACGGGGACATAGACGGTGCAATTGTTTGGCTGTGCATTTTCGGGGAGGGATGTGGCATGGTGTTTGCAGTACGGCTATATAAGCTTGGACTTGAAAGCTAGGCTAGGGATTATATATGGCTTATGAGTTTTGATTAAATTTAAATTGTAGTTCTCTTGGTGAGTGTTTATCATTTCGGTTTATACTTAGGCACAATACATTTATTTTGTTTTATTTTCAGTTTTCACATGACTTTTGTTTTTGTAGCTGTAACTTTTTGCTAAATATTTTTGCTTCGCTTACAACTAATTACTACGCATAAAAACGTGTCTATATGTGTGTAGTGTGTGAATGTGTCGGTGTTGTGGCTAATTATTTTATATTTTATGGGATTAATTTTGCATTTATCTCTGCAATAATTTCTACTACAATTTAAACATCTCAGCCGCTTGGCTAATATTTAAAGCTTTTCACAATCATTTTCATATATGCAAATTAAAAAATATAATAGGATTACAAAATCTGTTCAATAAATAATTTATAATGCAATAGTTTTTGTCGAACTATTTTTTTGCGCCTATTAACGCATGTTGGTGTTACTGTTAGTTTGTATGGGTAGTTAATCTTCGTTCCTACGAAGTTTTTTACAAATATTGCTTATGTTTTGCATGTGGCTGCTTATTAACGCAAAATGCATTACCAATTGGTCTTGTATCATAATTTATGATAAATAAATCAACCGGATTTTAAAATGCTCGCTTGATTGAATGTAAATAGGCTTTGAGCGGGGGTTTAAAGCCGGTCAAATGACTGGCCGAAATACTCGACTGTAACCCGCTGCTGGCCTGTTTTAACACAAATTTATTTTCAACACAAAACTTGACGCACAAAACTGCGAATACAAAAATTATTGAATTACAATAGGCTTCTTGGGGGACTTTAAACTATACACACATTTAGCTTACTACCAGCTTACACACTTTTCGCTTAATTTTGTTTTTCTGTTTAACAAAATATGCGCTAGGTTTTCTACGAATGCTACAAAGTAGACAACAATTTAAATCTTTACTGCTGCCCATCTGCTTAGTTTGCTTGCTGTTGATTCTCAGTTAGTTTATGACTTGCTTCTTAGCATAGGGTGATTAACTCTCCGCCTGCTGGTTGGCCGTGAACTGCGTAATGCCGTCCTTTTCCATCGACTCAAGGATATCAGCCACGTACACGGCTACATCGGTGTGGCTCGTCTCACCGCGGCGGATGAAGGGCATCTCCAGCAGCCGGCTGTATTTGGGCCGATCGCTCTCTTTCTTAATCAGGCTAAAAAGATTGTGACATTATATTTTCATTTTTAGTTCTATAATTTCTTTGTTGATGCTTACCAAGTATTGACAAAGTCCACAAACTCTTTGGAGAACTCCATGCCGTTGTAGGACGTCAATAGTCTGGGCGGTTCACCTTGCACAACCTGGAGAAATGTGAACATTAATAGGAAATAAGGAGAATTTTTAAGGTTGTTTTTATAGCGGAATCTGAATTTAAGTTTCAGCAAGGCTAAATATTTTATGCCAATAAAATATTGCGATATCACGATTAGATCGACAGCAAATGTAATGAGTAATTATTATATCTGCGTTATCTTTCCAAGATTTAGTTATTTTGGTTGCTTTTCTAAACACACGGAGGGCAACAACAACGAGATAAAAAGTTATTTGTTATCTCGCGAAAATGATTCATAGATCTTAGTCAGGAAAACCACTTTACTTGAATATTTGGAAGGCAATCTTACCTGACACAACTGCTCAAAGACCGAATCCCATTTGCGATAGGGGAAATTGCCGGTCGCCACCTCCATCAAAGTTATGCCCAAAGACCAAACATCGCTTCGTACATCGTAGCCCTTGGCGCGCTCGGGATCAATGCGTTCCGGCTGAGAAAACACACAGAATTATAGCAAACAGCTTTGAAAATGTTTCAGTTTCATTACCGCCATGTAGGGCCTGCAGCCCGCATCCTTGGTCTTGGCAATCGAGTCAACCAGCTGACCCGAAATGCCAAAATCACACAGCTTTATGTCGCCACGGCGGTGCAGCAGAATATTGCTCGGCTTCACATCCCGATGGATGATCTTTAGCTCCTCCTTCAGATAGTTGAGGGCATTCACCGTGGCCACCGTGATCTTGGCCAGTATGGACTCCGGAATGTGGCGCTGCTGCTTCTCGTAGATGTACTTGTAGAACTTATCCAACGAGGTGTCCATCAGTTCCATGCAAATCCAGCAGTCGCCCTCCTTGAAAAGCGCGCCATAGAACTGAACAATGTAGATGCACTCGTTGGACTTCATGACCACCTCGAGATCCATGAGCAGCTGCTTCTGTTCCTTCTCGTCGACGGTGGAGCGTATGCGCTTGACGGCCATTACCTTGTCCAGTTTCTTGAAGATCATCTTGTTGACCGCCCCGAAGGCTCCGCGTCCGATTTCGCCCTCATCCTCGAGATCGTCCGAAGTGAAAGTGTGTGTATTGGCGGCGCCTTCGCCGAACTGCAGCTTGCCGCAGGCCTGCTGGCGAATCCGCTCCCGGTGGCGATCGGCGGCGCTGCTGCTCGCGGTGGCCGGAACTGGGGGCACCTGACTGCTGGCCACCGCTGGTGGAGCAGCGGGCTGCTGCGGCTGCTGCTGGGCACCGAAACAGCGAGTCACGGGATTGTGCTGCGATGAGGAACTTGAGCCCGAGGAGGTGGATCCCGACGAGGTGGACGACGTGGACGAGGGCGGATGGCGAATGCTGAGGTTGTTCAGGCTGAGCTGATCCGGGGGATTGCGGGAGCGGCTGGATCCGGCTGGAAAAGGGAAAGCAGAGAATGCTGGTATATAGTTGCATGGCTTATCACCCGATGCCGATGCCCCCAACTATGCGTCACCCGCATCGAGTGTGTGTACCTCCTGGCCTGCATGTGTGTGACATGCGTGGGCGGTCGGTCCACTAGCGAAACCAAGAGGGTAACTCACTTGCAAACAAATTTTTCGGTCGCTCGGCCATTGTGTGCGGTGGCTGAAAGTATCGATGTCCCTTTGTGTGTGCCTGTCCTAAAGGATGTTCGGTTCGGCCCGTTTTCTGCAGGCGCCGCGCCCCGAATACAACACGTCGACTGGGACTTCCTTGGGCCCTCCGGTCACTTGGCTACTGGGCCACCTTTGATGGGCTCTTCGCCGGTTGCAACGCCACTACTTTTTCAGCAATCGAGCGCACGGATAGGCAATTTTTCCGCAATTTCGCTAAACATTTATATAAATAACGCAAAACTTAAAAGGGGCTAGAGATGAAACATTGATTATTTGCGGCCTATCGATAGGGCACCGCAGAGCGGTCGATAGGGCTGCAGGCTGAATACCGATAGGCAGCCCTGCAAGGTGCAATGATTGTAGGGTGGTTTAAATGATTTCTAAATATGTTATTAAATAAATGTTATTAATATTAAATTAAATATTTTTCCATTTAAAAAGTAAGCGAGGATAAGCATGTAAATTCCGGAAAATAGAATACAAAATAAAATGTATATCGTATGAATACTGTTGTGACGTCAAAACTTACGCTATCTCTCCATCCCTGCCCTTTTCATAACCGCTCGAAGCCCAGAAATACAAATCTCCATAATCATGTCTAGCGGATTCGCGCGCAGCACCTACAAACTGTTCGTGGGCAACCTGCCGTGGACAATCAGCAGCAAGGAGCTGCGGACCTACTTCTCGAAATATGGACACGTGGCCAACGCGGAGGTGGTCTTCGACCGGCAACTGGGCCTCTCCAAGCACTACGGATTTGTGGTCTTCAGCCAGCGGGATGCCTTCAACAGTGCCAGCAACCAGAACACCCACTTTCTGGAGGGCAGAGTGCTCACCGTGCAGCGCGCAAATGAAAGTCCTCAAGGATAAAAGATGATAGATGACAATTAGATTGATTTACTGGTTAGACCGAACAGAGAGCAGTGGAGATGGTAGCTTAGTTTTGTACACAAATGAAGGCAGCACTCGCTTTAAGTTCCGACCCCATCGTTTCATTTCTTGGGCAGGTAGAACTTGGAGTTGGTGCCCACCACCTCCGCCACACTGGCGTGGCCCAACTGGGTGATCAGCGCGGATAGCTCCGCCTTGATGTCGTCCACGAGAGCGGGTCCCTCGTACACCAGAGCCGTGTAGATTTGGACGTAGGAGGCCCCGGCCTCGATCTTCTCGTAGGCATCATAGCCGGAGGCCACGCCGCCGACGCCAATGATGGGCACCTTGCCATCGGTTAGCTGGTACATCTGGGCAATCATCTCCGTGGATCGGGCCTTCAGCGGTGGGCCACTCAATCCGCCTGCCTCCTCGGCCAGCTTGTTGGTCTCAATGTTATCCCGCGACACCGTGGTATTCGACACAATCAGGCCATCCACGCGGCTCTTCTTGCGCTTGATCACCCAAACGATGTCCTTCATGTCGTCCTCGGACACATCTGGCGATAGTTTCAGGAGAATGGGCACATTCTTGTTCTTGTCCAGTGAGGATCTAGTGTCGTTGACCGCCTCGAGGAGCTCCCTCAGCTTCTCCTTGCTCTGCATGTCCCGCAGGCCCTTGGTATTGGGACTGCTTACATTGATGACGAGGTAATCGGCCACGGGTCCGAAAACCCTCACACCCTGCACGTAATCCGCTATGGGGCTCATGGTGCTCTTGTTCCGGCCGAGATTCACGCCCACGACGCCGTTGAAGTCCTCCTTGCTGCGGAGCAGGCGCAGCCTTTGGAGCACCGCCTGGTGACCCTCGCTGTTGAACCCATACCGATTGATGATGGCCTTGTCGTCGGCCAGCCGGAAGACCCGCGGCTTGGGATTGCCCTCCTGGGCGGCTGGTGTCACGGTGCCCACCTCTATAAAGCCAAAACCCAGATCCTGCAGCCCGTCCACCGCCTCCGCGTTCTTATCAAAACCAGCGGCAATGCCAATCGGATTGCTCAGCATCCGGCCAAAGAAGGGAGTGTGCAGATTCTGGTCATCCTGGTACTGGGACACCGGACACAGGCGGTACTTGCAGGCCAGCACGGCCAGCTGGTGACTGGTCTCCGCCGGCAGAAGGCGCACCGCCGGCATCACGAACGTGCGGAACAACTGGTCCTGCTTCCGGTACGCCGTAATGCCCGCCACCAAAGCGGCTGCTCCGGCCGTAACGATCCCCAGCGACCGCAGGCGACCCTGTGGGAGGAAGACATTCAAAATCCGCTGCTCTTAAAGCCGTACTTTACTCACAATTCTACGGGTTGCGTTTTTAGCATTCTTCAAGTGATCCTGATCCATTTCGACTATCGCCGACTATCGATTGTGGGCGAAAAAGCGGGAAGCTGTGGTTGCGCGGAGTGATACAAAAAAAATGTATAAAAGTATGTATGGATTGTATTAGAGTTCTAAAATAAGTTCAATTTGGGAGAAAGCCGCTTCATTTTGAGGGAAAATTCATGCGAGGCTTACAGAGGAAAAAATATGACTAATGTATTCTTCGTTTTAAACCCCTTTGCATCGGCGCCCCTGCCGCATGACTATCGATAACCACCACGGGCCCCTAGTGTCATCCCTAAAGATTGAGTCAGTTTGTTATGGCCAGCTGAAATTTAAGAAATTTCGCTTTTTAACCGCTGATTTGGAAACCCGGGGCAACCATGAAGGGCGGAACCTTCCGCAACACCCAGTGGGATCCCACGCTGCTTTCGGCACAGATCGTATCGATGCAGTTCTGCGTGTACTTCACATTAGGCCTGCTCGTCTTCGTGGCCAACAAGTTGTCCGGGGATAACTACAGTCTGGATCACTTGTTCGAGTACCATGTAAGATAGTTGGGCTCCGGACCCATTGAGCCCCCTTTCTAAGCACCTAATGACTACGGATTTATTTGCGATTTCAGGAGATACACATCTACGATTTGGGCGGAAGACTGGTGATCTGCGCCTTCGTCCTGAACGCGTTCCTGGCCTCCCTGGCGCTGTGGTGCATCGTGAGAAGAGCCAAGCTCTGTCTGGACTTCAGGTGGGCATCTCGACTGTATTTGAATAGATGTTTCCTTCTCAGGATACGTAAAAAAGAAAACTAAGTGGAGTGGATGCCGCTTTCTTTAAAAGTTTGACCTTCCATCCGAGTATGATAGTGAAAATATCATATTGCTGGTCCTCCAAAATCAATAATCTTCAAAAAATTCAGAAATTATGGAGAACCATATTCTAATCTTAATTAGAAAAGATTGTTTCCATGAAAGCTAATATAGATAATTAATAATAATACATATGTATAACTCTTTCTATGCCTGCTAAATATAGGCGAACTATTTTAATTACTTACATTTTAAAGCGAAAAGCTAGAAACTTTAAACATAGAGGCAGTAAAATCACTCTACGGTTAATTTCTTGATGTAACAACTCACCTTTTCATACAAGTCATGTGCCCCATTTAACCAGTATCTCTGTTTTCCCACAGTTGCACCTTCCACGTCCTGCATTTGCTCATCTGCTGGTGGTACAACCGCTCCTTTCCCGCCAACGCCTCATGGTGGCTGCTCAACGTCATCACGGGCACGATAATGTGCATAGGCGGCGAGTTCCTCTGCCTGCAGACGGAAATGAAAGAGATTCCCGTAGGCTATGCGGCCCTCAATCAAAAGTCGGACGTCTGACTCTGATCCACCCCAACTTGTGATGCCCTGCTAGCCTATCCACTCAGCTTCTCTGTACATGTAATTTATTGTTAAACTAGCGTAAGATTACATAGCATATAAACACTATATTGTACTTCTATTAGTGTAATATCTGGTAAACGAACGGGGGTCTTGGCCTGAGCTTCAGTTCCTCAGGTAGAGTAGATGGCGGCAGGGAGAACTTGATCCCAGTACCGCCGTAATTCTTGGATATAATGGACCAAAGTGGCTCCTCGCGCGGCACAAACATCCAGTAGCTGAAGGCGAGCATGAAAGTGGCGATCAGCGAGCCCAGAAGGAGCAATATCCAGCACAGACTTTGTTGTGGCTTCTGCATTTTCACAGTGTTTATGAAATTGACACAGCTGAGATCCGCAAAAACAACAGAATGCACCGAAAATTCCGGTCGGTTCTCCGATATAATAAAAAACGGGGTGTGGCCTAGTCAAGAGCCCACTCTGTTTAAAATGCCAGCCAAGAGCTTTGCTCTTCAAGCAAAATTTATCTGACAAACAGCGATCGACAAGCTCCCTTGGCCTCCAGAAAGCATCAGAGCAAACTAATCACGTTTGCCTAATCTAATCTAATTAGTGAGCGGGCACGATCGTCACATCCTCCTCGTTGTTTGCTGCATTTTCATTTGACTTTTCTCCCCTCGGTGTGCACTTTCAATTAGTCTGATTGCTAAAATGAACTGAAACTTTGCTAGCGGAATCGCCGGTGACAAAGCTCTCGTTTTGGAAGCTTCTGAGAGGTCACTAACCTAACCCAATCTATGGATATTATTTGTAATTTATGCAGATCAAAACGCGATTATATAAAGTTCTTGGTTACAGAACTACACCAAGTGTAATGGATCGCAACATTCAGTTAACTAAGAACGAGTACCTGGCCAATTCTTATCACCGGGGTGTGTTTAAAACAAAGCATGCAAATAACTGTTAACCGTTTTTTTCCTTACGCTCTACTCCCGAGAACAACCGAAAAATAGCATGCCCCTCGTTCTCTCTCTGCGCAGCACACTTCGTTTCCTTTCGTTTTGGTTTTCGGTTGAGCCTTTTACGTTGAGCTGTTCGTGAGACGCTCTGTTACGAACCTCGTTCAATGAGAGATACGAATGTCGCTTGCACAGGGAGACTTATTAAAAGACCGATTGACTGAAAAAGTCATCGCAAAAAGTCTTTTCACTAATACAACTATACAATGTATTCCCTTTGAAAGTACGTGCGAGTGAAAGGGAGAGCAATATCGCCCAAGCACGTTAACGTTAACACATGCGCAAAAGACTTTTTGAAACGTCGTTCAGGAGCAATCGGTCTGTAAGCGAGCCGAGCAAAAGAAAGCCGAAAAAACTGCTCGTCGGCTGAGTGCGAGCAAAATTTCTGTACGAACAATTCAATCGGTTGCTCTCTGATTGTTTGCTCAAAGTCTCAGAGAAAAACAGTTATTTGGGGACCGGACGAATCGGTCAACAGTTATTTGCGAGCTATGGTTTAAAAGCTGATAGCAATAAGTAAATAAATCTTAATCGAACAAAAAATAATAGGTGGAATTTAAGTGAACAAGTCCCACCCACACAAGTGAATATAAAAATAATAGGGAGTACACAATTTATAAAAATGTTGGTGACGTATTAGCAATACAGTATCTAAAAAATTAACACTTTAAAATTAGATCAATCTATTAGAAGAAAATGGGTTTTCCCCTTTATTTCTAGACATCTATCATTTTATCCCAAAACCAAAAAAAATTAAAATTAAAGAAAACTAGACGAGCTCTTTTTTCATTTGCTAAATTATTAATTTTAAGTTTAGCAAACTTTGTTTTTTAATTACTTTTTGTTTGTGTTGGTTTCTTGTTTCATATAGTACATTATATCTCGATCTATATATTTTTTAATATATATACCATTACTATTTTTATGTTTTCTTCGTTTAAAATCATCAATTGAAGTTCAAGGATTTGCGCATTCATCATCGTCTTGATCCGATATCGACAGTATTTATGTCTACATATATTTGTATTTTAAGAATTCCAAGAAAATGATGTGTGAGAAGTGTAACTTATGGACAAAAATTCAAAATTGTATCAGTTGCTTAAATATTCTTAATATTTGTGGTTGTTTAGCATATTTGTAATATGTATGTTTGCATATTCCTTCAACTACGCGCATCGATTCCATAAAATATAAGGATGGGGCAGGGGGGAGATGGGCATGGGCATTTTGGGCTGGCTATACATGAATGTAATATACTTTCGCGATGGATTTGCACAATTTATTATTAATGCTGGCTCCTGGTTTCTGGTTTCTGAGCTTGTGAGAGAGGAGAGAATTGCTAAACGAGGGTGGTGGAGGGTGCATCAGTGTATCTTTTCTGTATTTTCGTGTTTCGTGTTGCGCTGCGCACAGACAGTTTCTCTTTCACATTTGCTGTTCCTATATAGTATACGTGTGTGCACATATATATATATAGTTGTTATCGACTTGGTATTTTCTGTTTCTCCGTTTGGTTAGTTGCGAAAGTGGCTACGATGCGAATGCTGATGCTGCTGCTGCTGGCCCAGGACCTTTGCCTGAAGCTGAGGCCTTGCTCATTGGCCCCACCAGTCGGGTCCGTTGCTCGATTGTGCGGCACTTCCGCCGTAGGAGCCGCCATAGGAGCCACCACCGGCACCGCCGCCATAGTATCCACCGCCTCCCGAGTTGCCACCTTAAATTGAAAAAAAACAATAGTTAGTAAATCTCGTAAATCAAAAAACTTCCGATGGATAAATCCACACTTACCGAACTTACCGTACGAGTTTCCATTGCTGCGGTAACTGCCACCGCCGCCTCCCGATCCACCGCTGCGTGCCGGGGGTCCACTGCGTCCGCCACCGCCTCCTCCGCCGCCGGAACTTTGACGGTAATCCCTCGAACCAAAGCCGCCGCCATAACGACCGCCGCCGCGTCCTCCCCGCTTGGCTCCGCCATGACCGCGATCCGAGCTCATGTCCTCCATGAAGCTGGGGATCTCCTGCTTCGTTTCGATCAGCAGCTCCAAAAGTTCAGAGCAAATGTTGCGGTTCTTCTCGTTGAAGAAGGAGGTGGCCACACCGAGGTTACCCATGCGACCCGTACGTCCGATACGATGGACATACTCCTCCACATCCGAGGGCAGGTCAAAGTTGATAACGTGCTTCACGTGCGGAATGTCCAGGCCACGAGCGGCCACAGCGGTGGCCACCAGAATGGGGCAGTCGCCCGACCGGAAGCAGCGCAGCGCCTCCTCGCGCTCCTTCTGCGTGCGATCGCCGTGGATGCTGGTCACCGGATGGTTGCACTGGTACAGGAACTCCTCCAGCGAGTCGGCACCCTTCTTCGTCTCCACAAAGATCAGCGTGAGGCTCTCTTTGGTGTACTCGGGCCCATCGCGAATAGACGAGAGCAGGTCAAGCAAATACGAACGCTTGTCGGGCTCGTAGACCCACAGGATCGTTTGCGTGATATTCTCGGAGGTTGAGCCCACACGACCGACGGCCAAGAAGATGTAGTTGCTGAGGAAATCGCTGGCCAGCTCCTGGATCTGCTTGGGGAATGTGGCCGAGAACATGAGCGTCTGGCGCTGCCCGGTTGGCGGCATGTTCAGCTGCTCGACGATGCGACGAATTTGGGGCTCGAAACCCATGTCCAACATGCGATCTGCCTCGTCCAGGACCAGGAATCGAATGTTCTCCAGTCCCACCTTGCCGCGCGTAATCATATCCTCCAAGCGACCGGGTGTGGCCACAATCAGGTGGCAGCCGCGGTCCAACTCGCGCATTTGCTCGCTCGTGTTGTTGCCACCGTACAGCACAGCAGGACGCATCCTGGAGCGGTAGGCGAACTTCTTAGCCTCCTCGAAGATCTGGGTGGCCAGCTCGCGGGTCGGTGCCAGCACCAGACCCAGCGGATACTGCTTGCGCCGGCTGTACTGCCGGTTGCTCTGCGGCGGCTGCACATGACCGAGCTCGTACATCTGGTTGAGAATCGGCACCAGGAAGGCGGCCGTCTTGCCGGATCCCGTCTGGGCGCAGGCCATCAGATCGCGGCCATTGATGATGATCGGAATGGCGTGCTTTTGCACCGGTGTCGGTTTGTCATAACGCGCTAGTGCCACGTTGTTGCGGATAATCTCCGTCAGCTGCACATCATCGAACGATGTGATGTTCGGCGGCACATTCTGGCCCGTCGCCTCCACGGGTATATCCTCGTATTTGTCAAAATTGATTCCCGTATTGCCCACGCCGAACAGCTCCACCTCCAGGCGCTCGTCTCGGGCGCCCAGCTTTGTGTAGTCGATGTTGCCGCCGCCGCCCTCCTTCCAGCGGCTGTTGTAACCGCCGCCGCCTCCGCGCTCGCCGCGGTTGTTGTAGCTTCTGTTGCCGCCACCGCCGCCGGGTGCTCCGCCCTCGCCGCCATCGTAGCCGGCTGGACGCTCCGGCTCCTGCCAGCGATCGTTGCGCGGCTGCTGCTGCTGCGGCTGTGCCTGGCCATCCTCGGTAGTCTGCTCGTTGAGGGCGTTACCCGATCCTCCGCCACCGCCGCGGTACGACGGTCCACGACCGAAGCCGCGTCCTCCGCCGCCTCCGCCGCTGCGATTCCAGTCACCGCCGCGACGCGAGTCGAATTCACCACCACCTGAAAAGGTATTTGGATTAATTAATTTTAATGTTTTTGATAGGAAATAGAGTCCTGCGTAAATGGATTCAAAGAATTATTTTGAATTTTTTGTTTTATATGCATGAATTAATTAGAATTTTGAGTTTAATAGAATTTTGATTTAATAGAATTTTGATTTTAATAGAACTGAATGAATTTGAATTTTGAGTTTAATATAATTGAATGAGTGGCATGAATTCCGAAATATTTTTAAGAAGAAAGGGCCATCATTTTGTGATTAAATCTGCCTTAATTTTATTTACGAAGCAGTTAACATTGATTTGTTAAAAATTTTCCACTTTTTGTTCTCAAACGAAAGAACAAAAAAAAAAATCGGGCAAATTCAAAAAATTTATAAAAACTATTCATTCATTAAATTTGAAATTAATTAGAAAAACATTTAATTTTCACATAGAATTGAATTAAACAAATCAGAAATTTCATGGCATACTCTGATAAAACAATAATTGAATAATTCACGCAGGTCTCTAATAGGAAATGAGATCTGAAATTCGGATTTGGTGGCTTAAATAATTCCAGATAGATCTTCAATCTTAAAATCGTTGGGATTTTATTAAACTCACCGTTGTAGTTGTCCTCGTAGCGACCTCCACCACGTCGTCCGCCGCCGCCGCCGCCGCTTCCGAAACTGCCGTAGTCGCCGCTCTGGCGATTAAAGCCGCGACCTCCACCGCCG